TAAAATTCAAGCGATGACTATGGAAAGGACTCAGAAAGACCTTGTAACCAATCGACACACTGTGTGTAGTTGAAGAGGCTTTTATGTTATATGTGTTGTGTGTTTGTGTTTGTTTGAAAATAAAATTTTTATTTAAAAAAAAAAAGCCAAGATGGTGGGAATGACTGCAATCAAGGTTCCATTTTTATAACGTGTAAAAGACGTCTCAAATTTTTGTACTATATTTTGCAGACACTTCTGCAGCTAGTTGTTACATATCTGCAGTAATGCCCTTTTGTTTCCTTTTAGTAGAGAAGGATACTTGTGTTTGTTGGAAAATAGGAGGCTGAAACATTGTAGTTTGAATTCTCTTTTGTGTTTGTTGGAAAATAGAGCCTGGAGTTTCATATTTCATCCTAGAAACATTGCTACTTTATCTAGTCCTAAAACCTATTCAAGTTACTTTAATAGATACCTAATATAGATAGCAATATGTGAAAATGACTGAGTTTATTTCTTCTCTAGATGCACCCAAGCAGATATCACATTGCCCCGAGCTAGTTATACTAGCAACAGTTTCACAGTTACAAATGTGCATTTAGAATATCCATGATTATGATCACAATTAGCCCCACAGGGCAAATTCCATTTATTCTATTTATTTTGTTCCACAAATAGAAGAAAACAATTTGCCCATAATCTGACAGGATGAAAGACGGGGCAAGCCCATTTTAAGTGATTTTGAGTGAGCAGTAATTAATTTGTGGAACACAAAATGAGGGAAGGGCAAAAAAAGTTCCACCTATCTCTGCCCGGTGATTGATCTGTGACTTTCTCATCTCTGCTCCTCTGCTCAGAAACCCTAGACTGAATGTGATTGGCCAAAGGGGTTGGCTGGGAGTCAAGGCAGCCGCTTTATATCTTTCTGAAAAAAGGCAGGCTGTATTACATACGGCGAGCGCTTCTGCCTTCTCCCACACCATCTGGTTGTCTTCAAGGACACAATAACCACACGGCAAGATGTGCAAAGGATTAGCAGCCTTACCGCACACATGTCTGGAGAGGTGAGAGAACAAGTTTATGCCTATCAAAGAGGGTGATGGAGAGAGTGGAGACACTGCAGCAATTTGGCAGAATAAAAATTTAGTCCATCTCTGTGCAGAAGAGATGCCTGCCTAAAGATATGTTGGGAAGTTCTGTTCTCATTTGTTTTGGACGAATTTAGCAAGTGAACTGACCAAGCTGTAGCCTTTATTTCTCATTGAGCTTGGGATCAGAAAGGTAAATTGCATTTCGACGCATAACCCTAAAAAAAAAAGTATGTTAACTCTAAACCACAGAGGTACTACTTTGGCTACGCTATTATAGACATAAGGTCATAATGACCACCTCGTAAAATTTTCTTAAATCTATGAAAATAATAGGTGGGATATGTTGTTAAATTTACTTTGCCTAGTTACAGTTTCCATTTATTGATCACATTTACAATTTGGAAAACTGTTGTGGTCACTATGACCTCAGGTCTGTGGTTAAGGGTTAAGACATAGTTAAAGAATAAGGAGCCAAATTCACTCAAAATACTGTTAGGTTTCTCGTGGGTGGTGGAATAATGTATTGCACAACATGGGGTTAGTAATACGAACTTCTCATTCAAATTAGCATAATTAAAAGCTTTTTCTTCTTAAGTGAAAATGTAAAAACCCTTTGAAAGGAAAATTGTGAACAAGGGAAAGATTGATTCTCACTCAATCTTTAAAGATATGATGCACTTTAAAACTTCTTATCTCTCTCACACAGAGATACTATTTTACAAGAATATGATGGCAGGTAGTCTTACATGAACAGTTCTTGTTATATTTTGGTTGGCTTTTTCTCATTCTTTTAATTACTTTCTTCCCGGCTTCATGCTAAAACCCAAGATATAAGCAGAAGGCTGTTGAGATAAATGTCTTATGACAATTAAATCATCATCCTCATACCATTGTTCAAAAAGGGATCACAAGAAACTTTCTTTTAAGTTTCCATCCGTTATTAAATACAATGAAAAAACAAGATCATTTTTTGAACTTTTATTCACTCACCCACCTACCCATTCATTTACTTATTCATTTAAACAGTCTATAAACTCTTATACTTATTTGTAGCTATTATAAAGAAGGATACATTTAAATTTAAAATACAGCAGAGGACATTGTCTTCAAGGACCATCATAAAATAGCAGAATTCTATCATGGTATTGGGACTAACCTATATATTTGGGAATGCATTCCAGCAAATCACCATCAGTTTATGAATTGAAATGATATTGGAATTGGAATTTATTGCATTTATATGCCACCCTTTTCCCCTGAAGGGGACTCAGGGCGGCTCACAATCCAAGTCAGGGAAGGGGGTACAGACAAGGGATAAAAAAGACGAACATAACAATACACAATTTAAAAGCACAGGACAACCATACCATTGGGGGGTGGGGGGGGGCAAAAGCTCTTTAGCCCCAGGCCTGTCGGAACAGCCAGGTATATAATCCACATCCAGTGTCAATGAGTTTACTAATTCTCAGTTTCACAACCTGTTTTGCATCAATGCACTAAAAGAACTAACACTAAAGAAAAGAAGGTTTAAGTGCAATCTCTCTGTATTTCTAGCGACTAGATAAGGAAGGAAAAGAAATTGGTGGCTTAGATAATTGCAGGCCCCGATAAATAAACACTATGATAAAATTATGGAATAAAATTAAAAAGAGCAGGATTTAAAAAATGAAACGTATGATGAAGAGTCATGAATTCCAAAAACTTTTCAGCAGGACTTTTAATTAGCCTGAAACTAACCAAAAACTGGTATTAAAACTTGACAGTAGCCTATTTTCCCAATGACCCAGCATAATACAGGATTAAAGAAACCACTTGAATAACTTTGTTTTAAGGCTATTAGAATCTATAGATTCTGGATCTTCTTCCCGTGTGTGTTTCACTTTCTAAGATTTTACCTACTGTTTATGAGCAATTTTGATTCAGGGATTTTTTTTTCATAGAAGGAATTTGTTTTTTAGCCATCCTAATTATTTTTTGCATTATTCCGTATAGGGTTCCTGAAAATATACCTCTGGAAACAAAAGGGTGCAAATAATACATGTCAAACCTCCCTAGATTAAGAGTAGCTTTTTATTTCTGAGTGTGAGGGTTTGCGTGATGGCCAATTAATTTTTGCAGACATTCTTCTCTGAGTTATGGCATGGATTATGATGCAAAATAAGATTCCATTGATTGATAGTGGAAAAACCAAGTCATTTAATTGTTCTCTTATATTTTTTGCCAGTTGCTTTATTTTATTTATCTTTTAGTGTTTGCTTAATGTCTGAAGACGTGTTTTGTCACAACGTTGGCATCATCAGGGCAATGCTGCTTTGCAATGAAAAGTTTGCCTATCTACAGTTCCAGAGAAAGAAATGGAACATGCAATGTTCATATCCATTATGCAGATGTGGTATTGTCCTTTATTTCTTAGCTTAGATCTGCATTAAGATCTGACACTTGACCTTGGTGATCACCCATCAGTAGGTTTCTTAAAACCAAGTTTAGGACAGTAATAAGAATAGTATTAATGCTTCACTATTAACATCTACCTGGATTTCTTTTTTTGAAATGAACACTGGCACCATTGGGATAGGAAATCTAATTCTCTTGTCCATATGCTTTTGACATGGGACAACTATATTAAAATGTTACACTTTTATCTGCTATTGCTTATTATCTGCTATTGCTTATAAAATGAGAAATAAATCTATCTGGAATCTAGTTGTCACACTGCCAGAGTTTATCGTGTATAATGATTTCAACAATATATTTGATGACGTCCTCCAGTATATTTACAAAATAACTCTACCACAGTGTTTCTCAACCTTGGCAACTTGAAGATGTCCGGACTTCAACTCCCAGAATTTCCCAGCCAGCATTCGCTGGTTGGGGAATTCTGGGAGTTG